CCACTGCTGCCATTAATCACATATAAGGCAATTGTTGCCAATTTTTGTTTTCGTCCCACTGCTGCCATTAATCACATATAAGGCAATTGTTGCCATTTTTTGTTTTCGTCCCACTGCTGCCATTATTCACATATAAGGCAATTGTTGCCATTTTTTGTTTTCGCCCCACTGCTGCCATTATTCATATATAAGGCAATTGTTGCCATTTTTTGTTTTCGCCCCACTGCTGGCCATTAATCACATACAAGGCAATTATTGCCATTTTTTGTTTTTGCCCCACTTTTGCCATTAATCACATATAAGGCAATTGTTGCCACTTTTTGTTTTCGTCCCACTGCTGCCATTAATCACATACAAGGCAATTATTGCCATTTTTTGTTTTTGCCCCACTTTTGCCATTAATCACATATAAGGCAATTGTTGCCACTTTTTGTTTTCGTCCCTTTGCTGCCATTAATCACATATAAGGCAATTGTTGCCATTTTTTGTTTTCGTCCCTTTGCTGCCATTAATCACATATAAGGCAATTGTTGCCATTTTTTGTTTTCGTCCCTCTGCTGCCATTAATCACATACAAGGCAATTATTGCCATTTTTTGTTTTTTCCCCACTTTTGCCATTAATCACATATAAGGCAATTGTTGCCACTTTTTGTTTTCGTCCCTTTGCTGCCATTAATCACATATAAGGCAATTGTTGCCATTTTTTGTTTTCGTCCCTTTGCTGCCATTAATAACATACAAGGCAATTGTTGCCATTTTTTTGTTTTCGTCCCTCTGCTGCCATTAATCACATACAAGGCAATTGCTGCCATTTTTTTTCTTTTCGCCTCTGCTGCCGTTAATCGCATATAAGGCAATTGTTGCCATTTTTGTTTTCGCCCCACTGCTGCCATTATTCACATATATATGCAATTGTTGCCATTTTTGTTTTTGCCTCTTGCCGCCAATAGCTAATCACATATAAGGCAATTGTTGCCATTTTTTATTGTCGCCCTCTGCTGCCATTAATCACATATAAGGCAATTGTTGCCATTTTTACTTGGCCCCTCTGCTGCCATTAATCACATTTATGGCAATTGTTGTATTTTTTGTTTTCGTCCTCTTCTGCCATTAATCACACATATAAGGCAATAATTGCCATTTTTTGTTTTCGCCCCAATTGCTGCCATTAATCACATATAAGGCAATTGTTGCCATTTTTTGTTTTCGCCCCTCTACTGCCATCAATCACATATAAGGCAATTGTTGCCATTTTTTGTTTTCGCCCCTCTGCTGCCATTAATCACATATAAGGCAATTATTGCCATTTTTTGTTTTCGTCCCTCTTCTGCCATTAATCACATATAAGGCAATTTTTGCCATTTTTTGTTTTCGCTCCACTGCTGCCATTAATCACATATAAGGCAATTGTTGCCATTTTTTATTTTCGCCCCTCTGCTGCCATTATTCACATATAAGGCAATTGTTGCCATTTTTTGTTTTCGCCCCACTGCTGCCATTAATCACATAAAACTGTATTGCCATTTTGTTTTCGCCCTGCCGTTTCACATATAAAACGGTATTGCCATTTTTGCATTTTTCCGTCCCTGCTGCCATTATCACATAAAAACGGTGATGCATTTATTGTTTTCGTCCCTGCCGTGCTTTTCACATATAAGGCATTGTTGCCATTTTGTTTTCGTCCTGGCCATTTCACATATAGGCGTTGTTTTGCCATTGTGTTTCGCCCTGTGCCATTATTCATATAAGGCAATTGTTGCCATTTTTCGCCTGTTGCCATTAATCACATATAAAACAATTGTTGCCATTTTTTTTCGCCCCTGCTGCCATTAATCACATTGAGCAGTGTTGTCATTTTTTTTTCGTCCCCTGCGCCATTATTCATATAAGAGCAGTATTGCCATTTTTTGTTTCGCCCTGCCTGCATTAATCACATATAAGACAATTGTTGCCATTTTTGTTTTCGTCCCTGCTGCCGTAATCACATATAAAGCAATTGTTTGTTTTGTTTTGTCCACTGCTGCCATTAATCATATATAAAGGCAATTGTTGCATTTTGTTTTCGTCCCTCTGCCATTATTCACATATAAGGCAATTATTGCCATTTTGTTTCCTTCCTCACTGCTGCCATTAATTCACATATAAGGCAATTATTTTGCCATTTTTGTCCCTCTGCTGCCATTAATCACATATAAAACCAATTGTTGCCATTTTGTTTTCGTCCCACTGCTGCCATTAATCACATATAAAACAATTGTTGCCATTTTGTTTTCGTCCCACTGCTGCCATTAATCACATATAAAACAGTGTTTGCCATTTTTTTCGTCCCATTCTGCCATTAATCACATATAAAACAATTTTTGCCATTTTTGTTTTCGTCCCCTGCTGCCATTAATCACATATAAGGCAATTGTTGCCATTTTTTCGCCCTGCTGCCATTGTCACATAAAACAGTGTTGCC